TTCACAAACTTGAAAAAGTTCATCAATTTTTAAACAAAAAGTTCAGCAAATTTAAAAAAGTTCATCGAAATTTAAAAAAAGTTCATGGATTTTCAAGAAAAGTTCATCAATTTTCTAGAAAAGTTCACAAACTTGAAAAAAAGTTCATTGAGATTGAAAAAAGCTCATGAATTTTCGAAGAAAGTTCATCGAGTTTGAAAAACAAGTTCATGATTTTTTTAGAAAATTTCACAAAAATTGAAAAACAGTTCATGGATTTTTGAAATGTTCACAATGGAAAAAGTTGACTGGATTTGGAAAAAAGGTTCGTCAAATTTGGAAAGAAATCATCGATTTTTTTTAAAAAGTGCATCATTATCAAAAAAGTTCATTGCATTTGAAAAAAAGTCCATTCAAAAATACAGAAGGAACAGATTCAAAGGAAAAAAGAACACAGATTTAGAAAATGAAAAAAAATAAGAATACCCGGATAACAACCGCCCCGGAAATGACCAATGAACCGTGAAAAAACCGGCTTGGGAAGTTTTTTGACGCTTCCCAAAACCAAGGGATTCCCGCGATTGAAGATACAAATAAAAACAAAAAAAAGCCAGTTACGAAACAGTGGTTGTTCGATGGCCAAGTGGTAGCTGTGTTGGGGTCGCTGCAACTGATCGTGAGTTCGAACTTCCGCGACGCACATTTTTTGAACTTCTAAACAGAAAAGAAGAAGATATACATGGGCCGGCCCAGGTCGCAGCGGCTGCAGGCGCCCGTTTGCGAAATGCCCTATAACGGGCGCCTGCAGCGCTAAATAGGAAATGCCTGGTAGCTGTGTTAGTTCGAAGGGAGCTCCTATACAGCGCCGATTCGCGCCGCTGGCGCCTGCACGGACACGAACTGGGCCGGCCCAGGAAACGCAGCGAGGCACAGCTAGGTAGGTTGTTGGATCGCAAAAAATGCAAAAAAGCAAGGTAGAACAGGGATTCGATATCTGGTCGCCTGTGCGGTAACATTCGAACACAACCACAAGGCCGACCTCCCTACACTGTTCATTTGGAGGGCAAATAACATTACTATATACACAGCCTATTATGCTTATTATTTTATGATGAAATGAAATAAAAAAATAAAAATGAATGCACAATATAAAAAACGTGAATTTCAAAGAAAGTTCATAAAATTTAAAAGGTTCGTACAAACTGAAAAAAAATCATGAATTTGAGAGAACTTCACAAATTTTTAAAAAGTTCACAAAAATTAGGATAAAGTTCATGGAATTTCGAAAAAAGTTCATCAATTTTGAAAATAGTTCACCAATTTTGAACAAAAAGTTCACCAACTTAAAAAAGTTCATCGATTTTGAATAAAAAATTTCATCAAATTTGAAAAAACAGTTCACTGATTTTGAAAAAAGTTCGTTGATTTTGAAAAGAGTTCATCAAAAATTGAAAAAAGTTCATCGCTTTGGAAAAAGTTCATCAAAATTGAAAAAAAGTTCATCAATTTTGAGAAAAAGCTCGTTGATTTTGAAAACAAGTTCATGAAATTTGAAAAAAGGTTCATCCAATTTGAAAAAGTTCATAGAATTTCAAAAAAGTTCATCGAATATGAAAAAAAGTTCATCGAATTCAAAGGGATGCAAGGGGAACCTGGTCGTACAAAAAGGAAAAAACAGAAAACAAAAGAGAAAAAAGGAAAAAGGAAAAAAGGAAACAAGAGAGAGTAAAGGAGAGGAAACGTTATAACTGTTCAGGATCAGCTGCGTGGTGGGGTGGTAATGAAAGGATGTAGCGACGAGGGAGGTCCCAGGTTCGATTCGCAACCTGCTGCATAAATTTTTGCGTTCTAAAAACATAGAAGAAAAAAACCACAGGCACCCCTAGATGGGCCGGCCCATCACGGAGCGCTGCAAGCGCCAGTTTGCGAAATGCACACAAACGGGCGCCTGCAGCGCTAAATAGGAAATGCCTAGTTCGAACTTCCGCGGCGCACATTTTTTGAACTTTTAAACAGAAAAGAAGAAGATATGCATGGGCCGGCCCAGGTCGCAGCGGCTGCAGGCGCCCGTTTGCGAAATGCCCTATAACGGGCGCCTGCAGCGCTAAATAGGAAATGCCCCGTGTGCATGTTCGTGCGTGAGACGAGAGGATGGTGATTCTGTGTCTGTTCGTGGGCTGGGCTAAGACGACATATAGGTAAAATATTTTTTGTTAAATTCCTGGGCGGGCCATGGCCCGATTTAGCCCCTACAGAGCTCCGCCCCTGCCGATACCAACAATGAACTAAACCCCCCTAAAAAAAGCAGCGAAGCAGACGGTTCATTAAGCGTTGAATAAGATCACGTTGGTCCGCACGTTCGTTTTTCTTGTAAACCGGAAGCAAATTTAGGGAGGGGAGTTTTGCCGGAGTCCTAACCTCCGCCGTGTAGCACTCCAACACCCCCACCCACCCAAACCACACTTGGACCCCATGTCTCCATCCCTTCCCCCATTCTCCGCATCCGCTTCCTCCCTGGCCGACGCCGATGCTGTACCACCTCGGGCATCCGTAAGCCCTTGCCAGACCTCTATGGCCTTCTTCTCTACGCCACTGTTCCACACCTTTCGTTCGTCCCCCGCGTAGGTACCATTCACCCCTGGGATGTCGTCTGTGGGGTCACCAGGCCCGACAAGTGTTTGGTGAAATGCTCGTGCTAATTTTTTGATAATTTTTCTTCCCTCTTTGAAGCAATGGATTCAGACATGGAGTACATCTATGAGCGTTATGTCAAGTCGTCTAATGACTCATCCGGTGAGGAGGACTATGCAGATGAAACAACGATGATGCAGACGCGGAGCCTGCGGAAGAGCATGTTTGCAATTCAAGGGGTCGATCAAGGGTCATCGAGTGCTGAATCGGAACAGGGCACGAGGGCATTTGACACTGATGGACGACTACTTTGCCCCCAATGCCCTATTCATGGACAATTTTTGCCGACACTTTCGGGTTCGAAAAAATTTGGTCGGGCGCCTCTACAATGGCGTCCGGGTCTACGAAGACTACTTCATATTGAAGAAGGATGTCATAGAAAGAATTGGATTCTCTGGTTACCCTGAGTGCACATTTGCGCTGCGGATGCTTGCCTATGGCACGACCGCAGATTGGTGGGACAAATACCTCTGGATGTCTGAGAGCAAATGCAGAGACGCCATGGTGAGGTTTACTATGGTGGTCGAGATGATTGGACCTACCTGAGAGAACCAACTGTCGCAGACACCGCAAGGCTGATGGCATTGTCCGAAATAAGAGGATGGCTAGCTATGCTCGAATCTCTTATTGCATGCACTGAAGATGAAAAAAGTATCCAAAGTTCTACAATGACAATATCAGGGCCATGTAAAGAAGCCCATCATCATTCTTTGGCATGTCCAGATCTCACAATGACATCAGGATGCCGCAACTGTCCTCATTGTTTGGTAGGCTGACTGAAAGACAAGCTCCTCCGTGCAACTATACTGTCAATTTACATGACTACGGCGACTATCTGGTTGATGGTATATATCATTGATCTTCATGAAGAACATCTCTGAACATGTTGGTAAGAAAAACGCTCACTTTGCCCCAAGATAAGGAGGTAGACATGATGTGGAGAAGGCATTTGAAAGCCCCGTTTTGCATTTGTTTGTGGACCTGCTAAACAATGAGATGCGGAGACCTTATGAGAGGTGTTGACATGTTGTATGATAATGCACAACGTGATCGTGTTGGATGAGGGTGAAGATGTTGCTGGAGAATTTGAGAACATGTTTGATCCTATCCAACTACCAAATCAGAATATGGCCACACTTGATGAGTTTGTCCAAATACATAACACATTCGATATCGAACAACTCATGAGCATCCGTGGACCGGTGAAGGGGATAATTAGAACATATGTATGAGTTGAATTCAAGTTTAAACCATTTTATTTTGAAACTTAGTTTGATTGTAATATTTACAATTCAACTACTGTGGCATTTATTTTTCACTCTGAACCTTCTCAAAGATTTGATATGCTACTATATTATTCTGAGCGTCACCGATTTAAGAAAGAAACATCAAGTTTGAAATATCTTATTTTAAAACTTTAGTTGGATTGTAATATTTACAATTGACCTACGGTGGCATTTTAATATCTAAACTCCTCAAAGATTTGATAAAATATATTATTTTCACTGATGCGGACTTAAGAACAAAAAACAAGTGCGGACATTTAGGGGAGATGTTGGAGGACCGGCTTCAGTATCCATGTCCAACGACAAACAATGTGTCCATTTTGGGGGTCGGCATTGGAGATGCCCTAAACGAACTGACTTTTAGGTTTCGAACCACCAGTATGACTGAAGACCGGGCTGATCTAATCTGAACGCAAACGAATCACAAATGTCATGCCAGTGCAGGGATTTTACTATCCTTCAGTTTTTCAACATAATTCAGATTTGTTGGCGAAGAATCACAAATGTCATCAGTGCGGCGCTGCACCGTAAGAGGACAAATCGGCACAATCTTCCTGCAGAGCATCAGAGTTTACAATTGAAAGTTCATTTCCAGACGAACCAACACACACACACACACGGACACAATGTACAGATCCTTCCGAAGAGCAGCAATTATTCGGCGACAACGACCAGCTTGCCTTCTTGGGAGTTTCAGCTTTTCTGCAACACCAACAAACAGTCAGCTATCTGACCATCTCTCTCAGTCTACTTACGTTATACAGCTTTGAGATAAATGTGTTCTCTCTGTCTACAAACAACTGATGTACTCCCTCCGTAAAGAAATATAAGAGCGTTTAGATCACTATTTTAGTGATCTAAACGCTCTTATATTTGTTTACAGAGGGGGTAGTTATACAGTTTTGAAGATATAAATATATGGTCACTCGAGTTAGTTCTGATGTCTGAACAAGCACGGGGGATTCTTCATTGTACCATATGATTCAGTGTGCGTGTCATGTGAAAAGAAGAGATTTTGCTGTTGGCATACCTTCAATGGGCGACTTATGTGCTTGTACTGCCCAGATCGAAGTCCATAGTGTAATCATACTCAATGGTGGGTATGACAGAAGCCATGAATTTGAGAAATATGAAAAGGTACCTATTCAGGAGAGGAGTCATGGATTAGATACCGGTCAAGAAGAGTGCTCTGCCTTCTACCATGGATGGAAGCAATAACCAAATGGTATATGCATATATAGAACATTACTTGTCAACTTCTGGTGCACCTCCTTGAGACACTATAACATCAATGATCTTTTTCATCACAGCAGCGTGCTTGCAAGGATGCACTGAAGCGTGCTGTCCCACTAACAGGTGAGGGTGGTCTTCGATAGTCACCTGTATCCACAAATAAAAACTGATGGTTTAGGCACCACCACAATGCCAATTGTAGGAAAAGGAAGGGGGCATGGAAATGCTTGATAAACTACGCGAGCAAGAGACAGCCATTTGAAGGCTATTCAACAAAAATATAACCACAAACCTACTATTAAGGAAACTCTTACACTGAAGACGCTTTCATTGGCTTATCATGATTCACAAAAGGCCTACTACCGAACCATATAAACACAACTTGAATAACAGGATGGAGAAAACACAGCATGCATGAAACAGAACCACAAAACATAATATCTGGACTCTAAAGCCGAAATGTTGAAAGATAGCAGAAATTCTGGAACACTATACCATGGAAGAATTACAAATGAATAATTGCCGAGTATTTTCTAAAGTACGCTCTCTGCTTCTTTGGGTTAATATGCACAGTATTATATGACACTGGAGGCTATGTACTACCTCTGTAAAGAAATATAAAGATCCTTTAGATTACTACTTTAGTGATCTAAACGATCCTTTAGAAATTATAAGCATGGCTATTAAGGAAGTCACGAATGCCGACTTACTGAAGTGGAATAAATTAGCTATCTGCGTATTTCACTTGACATGTCAGAAAACCGAGGTAAATAAAACAAGATAGCTAGAAATTTACCGTTTTGTGTGCATGGTCTTGACTGATATCTTGAAACACAAGTTCAGGCTTTAATGGCATTCTTGCCTACAATGGCGAACAAATAAAGCACATCAAGTTTAGCTGCAGCAAGAAAGACAACAATAACTACATGTAAAATGCAGTCCCTGTGTGCACAAATACTTTACCTCATCATAGCCAGTAAGCCAGACACGTGGAGTTTGGTAGTACTTGTCATATCTGCAGTAGAAGAACTACTTACATACTTTTCCAATAAAAGCGTGAAACACACAATAATGATACGACAAAGCAAACAGAACTAAGTGGGCGATCTAGTTAAGCAATGAACTATGGTAATCCTTCAACACAATAGCATTTAGTTACTTCTTAAAAAATTGGAAAATATATGGCAAATCGGATGTGTATCACGTGAACCATAACTCGCTGTGCTCCAAGCAGGCCGGCTTTAGAAGAACACATAAATTTTTCCACTTATGCATGGTTGTAGCTACGACTAGTACAGAACTACACACCAATCAAACAACTAGGCACTATCACTAACCAATTAAGGAAGAGTTAAATCAAAATACACAGCTAAGATAAAGGAGCTTACGTGATGCTGACATCATATGTTCTGGTCAGAAGAATGTTGTCATCATCCGGCTCTTCCGCGACAAAATATGAAGGCTGAGGGGTAGCCTGAAATGAGATGAGAAAGGCAAAACAGGAATCGTTAATAGTTCTGAACTTTGTCAGCCTTGCTTATAGCATATCAATGATAGGTTCATGGCCTCACTGTGGAATGATCTCCTGTGTCTTCATAGGTGTCCATATCAGGTATATCCTCCTCGTCATCTGGCTTTTCACCAGCACCAAAGTACGAGGGAATAGATTTGATCTCTTCGACTTTCCCTATGTCCAATGTATCCATAGATGGTATGTCCTCCTCCTCTTTTGACTCTGATGCTAAACATTACCAACAGAAGAAACAAAAAAGAGTTCAGCCCATACAGTCGGCAGTGTAAAACAAAGCAGCATTGAAACTGAGAAATCAACCTTGCAGCCCATGTGTTGCGAGCCAGCCTTCGCCATCCTCATCATCATCGAGAACAACCTCAGCTCCCGCTGCATCATACTCTTCCTCGACCGCCACAGCTCGTCTTAGGCAGGGCACTGCCAACAGAACCAAATTTAGGAGTACACTTGTAATAAGAACAATAATGAGCAACCAACCCAGCTTTTCTGAAGCCAGGACCGTTCTACTAACTATGTCGCTATTCATCTTTTTCATTCATCAGCCAATTATGTTTGACTAGCAGTACAGAAATATGCCTAGACAAACATGCCTGCTACACTTGTAACTACCCATCGATACATGGGGATAACAATCATTCTATCCTCCAGCGCAGCATCCACCAAATTGAACGAAATACTAGACAGGAAGTATGGATCGCATCTTGACGCAATTCAATTCGACAGCAGCATACCGTTCCTGGTGACGAGGAACTGCTTATCGGAGGGGAGGTACGGCTTCCTCTTGCTCGGATCGCCCGCCTCCCTGCACAACACAGACACCCACCAAACGATCGGATCAATCAGACGCCCCACCCCCACCCGGAAACCGCCCAAAATCCCTGAACCGCGGAGGCGAGGGGACGCACCAGGACCAGGTGGGGCACTTGGACACGAGGTTGTCGCCGGCGAGGATGAACTCGGGGACGGAGAGGACGCCCTTCTCGAGGAACGCCGAGACGGTGCGCGGGCCCGTGACCCGCTCCACCGTCCCCTTGTAGAGCTCGTAGACCTTCTGCTTCACCTGCATCGTCGCCGCCTCGCCTCGCCTCGCCTTGTTGCTTCCTGTCGACGGGGACGAAGGGGGAAGCGTGGGAGAGGGGAGGAGAAGGAGGAGGAGGAGGATGGGTTTCGTTTGCCTCGAGCAGAAGGCACCGGCGAGAAGGTGAAGCAGGGCACAGCCGTCTCTGCTGTTTTCTGGTAGTACGCCACCGGAGTTTTTTCTGAGGAGGAGTACGCTACCGGAGTTGGAACACGCACGATGTAGGAGTTGGAGCCGGGGTGTGGTGGTTGCCTGGTTGGGTGGGTCGGGCTCGAGCCAGCTCCTTAGTTTATAGGCCCTGGCCCTGGCCCAGATCCGACGTAGGTTTCAGGATGCCCAAGGCACAACCAAATCAGTTTATGAATACCTTGAGGTTGTCTTAAAAAAAATGAATACCTTGAGAGAAATATTGCTGGGTGCAATTATAAATGGATTTGAAAAGCGAAAATCCTTCTTAAAATCCAAATCTTCCTTTGGCAACTGTTTCGGGATGTTGTCTTGACAAGAGATGTCATAAGTAGAAGGCGGTGGGCTGGCACCCAGAATGCTCGTTCTGCAATGATAGAGAGACTTCTAAGCACCTTTTCATTACATGTCATGTAGCTAGAGTGTTTGGAGGACGATGGGTTGTGCCTTGGGCACGGACAGATGTCCGAACAATATTTGGCAAAAAAAATTCTTGGTGTTATGTTTTCCTCCCTGATGGTGAGAGGTTTTACATCTTTGGATTAGCGGCCATATGTTGGGCAATTTGAAATTGTGGCAACCAAGCTACCTTTGAGCAAAAAAAAACTCCTTTTATTGTGAGCTTTTCAGCATGTGGCTTCATATCTTATTGGGCAGGTATGATGACTGGAGTGGATCGGGAGACGATGGAGCGGGGGGGGGGGGCAAGATGCTGAGGGCCAGCACTTCAACCATGATGAGGATTTGCGCTGCGCCAGGCGAGAAGATGCAGGACTGATGAGGATCTCGGTTGTTGTAACGCCCACGATGCGGCTATATCTCCCACGTGTCGAAGCACGACTTAGAGGCATAACCGCATTGTAAGCAATGTCGCAAGTGGGGTAATCTTCACACAACCCATGTAATGAATAAGGAAAAGGAGTACATAGTTGGCTTACACTCGCCACGTCACACAATAGCATAAATATCATTACATTCATCCAGATACAAACAAGGTCCGACTACGGAACCAAAATAAAGAACAACCCCAAATGCAACAAAGTCACCGATCGCCCCAACTGGGCACCACTACTGATCGTCTGGAAAGGAAACGTAGTATCGCCCTGAGTCCTCATCGAACTCCCACTTGAGCTCAGTCGAATCTCCTGGAGCGGTATCATCGGTCCCTGCATCTGGTTTTGGAAGTAATCTGTGAGTCACAGGGACTCAGCAATCTCACACCCTCGTGATCAAGACTATTTAAGCTTATAGGAAGGGTAAAAGGTATGAGGTGGAGCTGCAGCAAGCGACTAGCATATATGGTGGCTAACATACGTAAAAGAGAGCGAGAAGAGAAGGCAAAGGCACGGTCGAGAAACTATGGTCAAGAAGTTATCCTAGAACAACCTACGATCAAGCATAACACGAGACCGTGTTCTCTTCCCGGACTCCGCCGAAAAGAGACCATCATGGCCACACACTCTGTTGATTCATTTTAATTAAGTTAAGTTTCAGGTTATCTACAACCGGATATTAACAAATTCCCATCTGCCCATAACCACGGGCACGGCTTTCAAAAGTTCAAACCCCTGCAGGGGTGTCCCAACTTAGCCCATCACAAGCTCTCACGGCCAATGAAGGATATTCCTTCTCTCAAGACAATCCGATCAGACTCGGAATCCCGTTTACAAGACATCTCGACAATGGTAAAACTAAACCAGCAAAACCGCCCGAATGTGCCGATAAATCCCGATAGGAGCTGCACATATCTCGTTCTCAGGGCACACTGGGATAGGTCAAGCTACGAGTAAAACCAACACTCGAGTTACCCCGAGGTGGCCCCGCATGCTGCCCATTTCGGACCAACACTCAGAGGAGCACTGGCCCGGGGGGGTTTAAAATAAAGATGACCCTCGGGCTGCGGAAACCCAAGGGAAAAGAGGCTAGGTGGCAAATGGTAAAACCAAGGTTGGGCATTGCTGGAGGAGTTTTATTCAAGGCGAACTGTCAAGGGGTTCCCATTATAACCCAACCGTGTAAGGAACGCAAAATCAAGGAACATAACACCGGTATGACGGAAACTAGGGCGGCAAGAGTGGAACAAAACACCAGGCATAAGCCAAGCCTTCCACCCTTTACCAAGTATATAGTTGCATTAAAGTAGACAAGATATAATAGTGATATCCCAACAATAAACATGTTCCAACAAGGAACAAACTCCAATCTTCACCTGCAACTAACAACACTATAAGAGGGGCTGAGCAAAGCGGTAACATAGCCAAACAACGGTTTGCTAGGACAAGGTGGGTTAGAGGTTTGATATGGCAATATGGGAGGCATGATAAGCAAGTGGTAGGTATCGTAGCATAGGCATAGCAATAGAGCGAGCATCTAGCAAGCAAAGATAGAATTGATTTCGAGGGTATGGTCATCTTGCCTGCAAAGTTCTCTGAGTTGACGTTAGCTTGATCCTCGTAAGCGTACTCAACAAGCTCCTCGATCACGTACTCGTCTCCCGGCTCTACCCAAAGAAAGAACAACAAACAAAGGGAGACACAATCAACCACGTGCAATGCACAAGCAACATGATGCAAAACATGACATGATATGCGGGATGCGATATGTGGTGCATATGCATGCTTTGGAAAGGAATGATTGAACCTGGCCTCAACTTGGAAAACAAAGAGTGCCACTAGAAAGATGAGTTAATTTCGGTCGAAATCGATATAAAGATCACCGGAATCGGATGCACGGTTTGCAAATGGCAAGCAAAACAAATATGGCACCGATCTGCGATTAACAACACGAGGCCATCTAAATGCATCAAGAACAACAAGCTACTGCACTCTAACATAGCAGCAAAATACATGGCAGGGATCCACTCAAGATGCTTGACAAAAGATGAACACTGTGAAAGTGCGTTATATCGACTAGAGGGGGGTGAATAGGCAATTTTTATGAAATTCTTCACTGAGGAATTTGCCGGTGAGGAAATTCCTTAGCGAAGAACTACTAGCAGCGGAATAAGTACTCAAAGGTAAACATAACAGAATACAAGCATAGTCATCATGATGAAATGAAGACAGGCACAAAGTACAGGAAGCGTAATCACAGGATAACATAGGATGAAGACAAACAGACTGAAGAAATTGAACTGTGGAAATTGAGAAAGTCTTCAATCAAAGTCTTCAAACACAGATATGAACAAACATACAACACAGTTATGAGGAAATGAAAGAGTTGAGGAAATAGAACTAGTAAGCTCGATGAAGACAATGATTTGGTAGACCAATTCCAACTGTTGTCTCAGTTGTACGTCTGGTTGGAGCGGCTGAGTATTTAAACTCAAGGATACATAGTCCCTGACACCCAGTCAAGGACACTTAGTCCAAGACACCCAGTCCTCACCATATTCTCCTTGAACTAAGGTCACACAGACCTCGTCCAATCACTCGTGGTAAGTCTTCAGGCGACTTCCAAACCTTCACAAACTTGGTCACTCGGCGATCCACAATTCCTCTTGGATGCTCTAGACCATGACGCCTAACCGTCTAGAAGAAGCACAGTCTTCAAAGGTAACAAGTGTCGGATCCACTCAGGATCAATCTCTTCAGTGATGCTCAATCACTTGGGGTTTGTAGGTGTTTGGGTTTTGGGTTTTTGATTTTTCCTCACTTGATGATTTTCGATCAAAGTCCTCGGAGGATGGGTTGCTCTCAAATGACAAGTGTCAGTTTCTCTCGGAGTAGCCAACCAGCTAGTGGTTGTAGGGGGGCAGCTATTTATAGCCTAGGGAGCAGCCCGACATGATAAAACATAAATTCTCTTCAATGATATGACCGTTAGGTGGATAGATATTTTGGGACAGCTGGCGCATAGCACAACAACAATCGGAATTTTGAGTAGTAAAATCCTGAGGGCTATCATGTTCCTCACTGTGTAGGCAATCCGCACTGGCGAATTCCTAACTCCTCAGTTAGGACAAATTCCTCAAAGACCAGAAGAACTTCGTCTCTATCAATGAAGAAATTGACTGAACTGTATGAGATTTCCAATGGCTTCACTCGAAGGGATTGGTAGGTGTGGGATTTTAAGTTGAGCATCACATGGAAATTTTTCCTTAGTATTTCCTCGACCCCCTTTAACAGTACGGTGTTTCCTATAACTCGAGAAAGAGAAAAACAAAACTATGAACACGAAAGTCTTCAAGTTTCATATTTCTCGCATGAATATCAAGTCTTCATGGACACACCAATTTCTTCACTTTCAAAGTCTTCATGAAAGTCTTCAGAAATACCAAAATCTTCAGTCAAAGATATTCATTTTTAGGGGTCGACTTTTCTTGTAAATATCAAACTCCTCATAGACTTATAGACCCGTGTACACTCACACACGCATTAGTCCCTTAACCTATAAGTCTTCAATACACCAAAATCACTAAGGGGCACTAGATGCACTTACAATCTCCCTCTTTTTGGTGATTGATGACAATATAGGTTAAGTTTTCAATGGGGATAAATATATGAAGTGTAAATACTGGTATTGAGGAATTTGATTGCAAGATATAGAAGAACTCCCCCTGAATATGTGCATAGTGAGGAATTTGATTTTGAAGCAGTGCACACTTGAAGAGTTGAATCATGGAGATCTCCCCCTATATCTTGTAATTCATACACACATTTAACATATAATATAAAGAATTTGAAATGCATGATGAAATATGGTGCCTGATGAAATTCAGCATGCGTGCAATAATATTAATGAGGAATAAGCATGCAGAATAGTGCATCAAGAGTATCAGAGCACAGTGCATCAAAAGTATC